GATTGAGGGGGTGGCAACCAGAGCCAAGACCCAAGGACCAAAGTCTAAGCCTGGCCGGGAAAAGCCATCGAGAATGCAATAACAAAGGATAAAATAATAAGATTTACTCATGACTTACTCTTGACTTTGCCAGCATCTGTGACAGCAGCGGAGGAGAGCGGAGTGTGGGGGATGATATGGGGAACAATGTTTTATTAAAACATAAACACAAACAAGATCCCTCCGACAACGGCAAGAACAATAGCAACACCAACACGGCACCAGACATCAGCAACTATGACGGCCAGGACACCAACAGATTGAATAATGGCAGCATCTCGGATGGAGGCAGGTGCTACGGAAAAAGTGGGGAAAGTGCTGCGGGCTTCTGGATAAATTAAAAACAAAAAGTATGCCGAGAACTCATCGCATTAAATTAGAGCCGAGATCCAACGTCGGCTGCCAGGGTAACTTTTTGTTATTATTTTTCAATTTCTTCGTCATCTGCTGTTGCTGATGCTGCTTCTTATCCCAGTTTTGATGTCATTTTTCAAGTGGCTTATGTGTGTGTGTGAGTCCTGTGCATTGCTAAACAAATTTTGATTAACTTTTGCATAGAAAATCATATTTGTTGTCATCAAAACAACAAACACCAGAGATATACGCTTTTCTCACAAACGAAATTGAATCTTGGCATGTCGTCGGTAAGAAAAATCTCTCATTTAAATCTAAATTTATAAAAATCATATGTCAGGTAACACTTGCCCAGTCATAAATGCAAATTCTTTAATTTAAAATGAATTAATTGTTTAAGTTTCTAGCCAGACTATTTAGCTACTCAAATTTTTAGCAGAACTTACAAGGCTGGGACTTTGAACCTTCCTCCTCGCTACCAAATTCATTTGATCGTCTTTCAAATGCAATTCATCAATTTGACTGGCATGTGCACATAAATCAACCCAAACAAAACCATAAAAAAGAAAGCCGAAAAGGGAAACTCTTCAAAGCCATTTATAGTTGTATTTACAGATGTGCGCGCGATGCAGCCAACAAAATATAGTAGACCCAACCCAACACATCCATTTTTATTTATATATATCGCTATATGGCTATATAGCTATATAGAATGTATGGGATGGTGAGGAGTAAAGCAAATGAAGAAGTGTGGGGGATGCATGTAGATTGCCACTTAACAGCAAAATAAAGTTCTGCACAAATTTTTAATTGAATGGCAGCGCATTGAAAAACTTTGCGTTGCCACTAAAATTGATTACACTCACCCGCCCACACTGACGCACTCGATTCTCGAGAACTTTCGAGATACACATTGAGATATTGGGGAAATTATTGAAGCAGAAATCGGCACTCGTGTCAAATGCATAACGTTGAGCTCGATCCGAATTCTCCCTCCCCTCCCCGCCTCGAGCCAGAACCAGAACCAGAATCTGAACCACTAACAGAATCCATCGAACACCCAATCTGGAGGCCTGTCGTTTTGCCAGCATGTTGCAATTTATTCTAATCGCTTGTCGGAGAAAAAAGAACGCCGATGGATGGTAAGCGATGCGTGTAACGATGCTGCACATGAAGTCATCGGTAAACCAAAGCCGGGTTACCATGCCACACTATATAGCAGGCCATACTATATACCAGACCAGACCAGGCCAAAAAGGTTGCCAATTGAGTGGCGCCAATCAATCTACTTCTGATGCTGCTGCTACTGCTCCTTCTGCTCGAAAGTGTGTCAAAAGCGGTGCCCAACTAAGCCGGAGTGAGCTGAAGAGCGTTAAACTCCGTCCGGATGGCAGACTGACGGACGGACCAACTGACGGCTTGTTGTGTCGCTTATGGCACTTAATTGACGCCAATCGCATTGACTTGCAGTCACTCCATTCAGCCTCTGCTGATGGCAAGAAAAATCACAGCTCGTTAGTGCTGCGAACATACGTTTCAGGTCTCCATCTCGATCTCGAGGTGGGCCAACCAGATGAGCAGGTGAGGGTTCAGCATGGTGGCTATTGACGCCAAATTGCCAATTCGGGCTCTCAGTTAGCACAAGTTGAGGACACATTATTAAATGCCACCAGCAGGAGCAGAGAGAAGCCATAATGCCTTAAACTTTTTAAAATTTGTTACTTTTAAAGTAAAGTAGTAGAAGAACTAGAAATACTTTGCCCAAGTCGTTGGCCAGTACATCAGAAAGGTGGTTTTAATACACTCTTTTAAAAACCTAGTTAGTTAGTTTAGGTTAACTTAACTTGAGCCTTTCCATAAGCAAAGACCACAATTTAAGCGATTAGAGTGCGGACTTCCATAGTTCAATATCTCAATAAGGAATTAATCAGAAAATCCAGTCGAAGTGGCTGCTCTTGAAGCTTCGGCAACCGCAAATCAGTTAAGCCACCAAATCAACGGCAAGCAAAACCAATGTCAGGGACAACTACATGACAGCCAACACAAACACAATCGCACACTCACATACACATAAACGCAAACATGAGAACACGAAGAACATCACTTGCAACCCACTTCTTAAAAATCCTTAAATCACACCATTGTTTGTGCGTGTGTGCGAGAGTTTGTTAATGATTATTTGACGCCATGTTTGATTGACGTGCAAATACCGCCTACTCTTGCTGCCTCTTCTGCTTGCACACACATTTTATTATCCTTGTGTTGGTACAGTATATAGCATACAGTATACACTGTAGAGTGTATACACCTCCAGACATCCGAGTCTCCACCCCCTTCGCTGTGTTAATGGCCACCAAAGACCGCAATAACCACATGGCACTTATCAATTTTTGCGCCTTAACAAAATGGCACTCGAGCGTGTATTTGTGTGCGCACTTCCGTTGATATCAAAGACATATGTTTGCATATGTGTGGGTGTTTCTTTTGCAATGGGCTGCCTGCATTAATATTCCGTTAAATTGACATTTACATGATGACGACGATTACGACGGCGTTGAGGATGTTCCTGCTGACGTGCGAACTGAATGGTTGCTTGACTTCTGCCCCCAGAAATTATTCAAGACCTAATTTATCTTCATCAATGCAATAAGCATTTAAGAAAATTAAAACCCAGCACATAGGAGTGTTTAACTAACTTTTGATTAAAAGACAAAATATGTTTAGTTGGGATTTATGGGTCCCTTGCAGACTTTGGCCAAAGTTATAGTTTAAAGTTCCGAAGTTCCATTACAGCCTAAGCTTAAGTCCTTAATATTGATCTTGAACTTTTTCAACTTTTACTCTTAACCAAAACTAATCACTGTTTTTCGGCGACCCAATTTTCTTTAGCCTTGTCAACGACTTCTTTAGCAACACTTTACAGCCTTTTAGAGGGCAGCAATTTTTGGGCAATTTCATTCTATTTTTTTGTCTCTGTGGGAGCAACAGACTTGCAGTGCTCTTAGCAATTTGCTTACACTCAACTCAGCCATGTCCAAAATGGCAGCTACATGCTTTTCCCTCCCACATGTTTATGTGTGGCATGTGTGTGTGGGCCGGCTGTGCGTGGAATGGCGTGGGGGTGTGCTTGATGTTGCTGGATAAACTATGTAGAGTCCTTGAAAAACATGCAGGCCATAGAAGCGGAATGCCAGCGGCTGCAAAAACAACGAGCGCAACAAACAGCAAAAATAGAAAGGAAAAGTTAACAGTTGACATAGTTTAGAGTTGCTTGGTCAGACGAGGAGGCTAAGCAGGGTGGTAGTGGAGTGGCCAGAAGGGGTCTGGGCTACAACTATGAGTTGGGTTCAACAGCCACGAGCGTAAGCCGTTGAATGCGAAGCGGAATGAATGTCTTAATCAGAGTGTTGGGGAGATTGGTGGCAAACTAAATGAATTTAATTGCCGCAGGATATGAAAGTAATTATTTTGCAGTGCATAGACACAACATGGCCAAAGTGGGTGGAACAGTGGGTGTAGGCGGGCCAGTAGGCGTGGCAGCATGGCAGGCGCAGCTAAAAACGCAATGAGGCCAAAGGCGACTTTTCCTCTTTCTCGCTTCCACTCTCACTCACTCACCCGCTGTTTCGTTGCCATCGATGCACTTGCACTTAACGGCAAACGGGCGTTCAAATCGCCACGCCCACGCTGATGTCAGCTGTCCCGCCCACATGCTCGGTACCGATGCACTACCACTGCCACTACCACTGCCACTGTCAATTGCCCCGCGGTTATTTTGAGTTGTTCTTTAATTTATTCTCTTTTATGCCTGTGCGTTAGTTGTCCTTCGCCAGTGGATGACTGTGTGTCAGGATGCGAGTATCAGTTTATACACTGTGAATAAAAAGTGGTGATATCAGAAAGATTATATCAGAAACTCTATATTTCCTCTACTAACTCCCAATTTAGAAGGACTCTTCACTTATGTATCATTACATCTTCACCTTCTCTTCTCTCAGTGTAGCTGCAGCAAAGAGACAGCCGTAGTGCTACAAAAGGCAACGATGTGTTACACTTTCAATTGTCGCTGTCCCTCAATACTCCTATGTGCGTGTTTATCTGTGTTTGTTAGTATCTATGTGTGTGTGTGGCAGAGGAAAGTGTAATGCTGCTTGTTTACATGGTGGCTCTGTTGTGCTGCCTAGATCAACGTTTCTTTCTGGCATTGTTAGTGGCAGGACCTTGTAACACTTTTGATCAAACAAGCACACACACACACACACACTAGCATAGGCCATCCCTCACAAACATGCAACAAATGAGCGATTCTGCCACTCAATTCCAAGTCCAATTATGAAGGCACATGCGTCTGCGATTGATGGCTCTCTGAATCGTTCCCATATCACCGATGAATTCAAACGTAGGGGGACTCGGGAGTGTTCTTGCCACGATACACGTGCTTGGATGGATTCTGGAATGTTACTTTGATGGATATATCATTGATTAAAATTAATCCGTTCTAGCACGTGTATCTCAGCAGTCATAAAACTAAATATTTTTCTACCATAAAACTCAACCACTTTTATAAATAATAATTTAATTTATTTTTGATTTAAAAGTTCATTTGTCTAATGGCGCTGTTTCTTAGTGTTCCTGATCGAATTGTGGCGTTCGCACGTAGACGGGAGCAGGATGGGTCAGTCCATTGTTGCGGAGCACCTTGGGATAGGTGTTGGCGTACTCATGCGTGGGATAGCTAGATGGCTGGTAGGCAGGCGTCTCCTGGCTGACCTTCGAGTATTTTCCGCTCCTCAGAACGGCTCCCTGGGGCTGGTAGTACAATCCATTGTAGGCATCGATCAGACTGCTCACATCCTCCTCCTCATCATCATCATCGGCCGAACGCTTGTCTCCGCTGGAATGGTGGGGCTTGGGTGTTGGTGGTGGAGGTGGTGGTGGTGGGTATGGGTAGGGAGGAGGATAGTAGGGTGGGTAGCCGTAGTAGGGAGGATAGAACGGAGGAGGGGGTGGGTAATAACTGCCTGGCTTGGAACCATGACCATGTCCGTGTCCATGTCCATGTCCGTAATCTGGTTTTGGGGTTGTGGTCGTAGTCGTAGTGGTTGTGGTATCGGTACCATTAACTACCAGGATACAATTCACAGTGGTCACATCATCGTTGTCATCGTCGCCGCTTCCACTACCATGACCATGTCCACTTCCATGACCACTGCCGTGTCCACTACTGCTACCACTGCTCGACGAGGATCCGGATCCAGAACTGGAGCTGGAATCGCTGCTTGGCTCATATTCGATGCTCACCACACGGCCCAACCGCCTTTCCTGGTCCTGATCTATATCATTGGTGGAGATCACACACAGAGGACGTCCCTTCTTGGGCTGATCCTTGGAGCTGAAGATAGCTGGAATGAAGTTGCCAGCTGCAAAGCCAGAAGCCAAACCCTTGATGCCAGCAATGGAGCTGCTGAGCAAACGAGCCTCAGAAACCTCCTCCTTGCCCTGAGTTAGACGGAGGAGCTCGTTGTACTCCTGCCGAGTAACCTGGTGCAGGCGCACCAGCTGAGGACGACTTCTGCCTGTCACATAAATAAATCATTAGATTTCCTTTTACCAGGATCAAATACTACGTATCCTCACCAGCTTGGACTGCCGCTGCGAAGAGCACGATCAATGCCAGAACTGGTAAGAACTTCATGGCGATTGCGAATAAGCTCATCTGGCTCTGCTCCCTTGCTTAAATATTTCGAAAGTCTCTCTCTGCCGTCAACTTGATGGCTTGACGAACCGAAATTTCCTTTCGGCATTGTCATTCAAATGGATCAAAGCTCATCTACAGTTATATTGCCCTAATCGACTTCAATCTCCATAATTTACGCGTTGACCCAGTTCCCTAACATGATCATCGCCCTGCCCAAACCCGTTTACTAAATAGCTCTGTGGACAAAAACACAACTGGCTAGTCTAGTTTCGCTGATTGAATGATAATGTTCTTGTTTGCGGTCTAGCTCTCTAAAAGGAGACTCAAAGTTTAGGAAATTACTCATACTTTGTGGTCTATGGATCAATCTTAGACTAAGGGGAGTTCATGACAGGTCCACGGTTCAATGTTCAGAAAATATTTAAGAAATTCAAGGCATTTCAAAAAACTCTCCATAAACTAATCTCTATTTTCTTTTCATCAAAAACTAAGATAAAATAAATATAATCATTTAATGTTTGTAAATCGTTTTTTATTGGTAACTGTAAGCTTGGTTTAGGTACACAGGTTTGTAGGATTGATAACGTTTCTTATAGCGGTAATCATCTTCCTCGTCCGTCTCGTAGGAGTCTTCATCTTCCTCCTCGTCGTCATCAGCCTCTGCCTTCTCTACTTCCTTAATAGCATTTGCTTGAGCCAACTGGTTTTGATCCAAGTAGGGATAGCCATAAGCACTATAGTACTGCTGGGGATTATAGGGACCAATGGGTGGCTGGGGCCCATAGGGTTGTTGGGGATATGGTCCATAAGATGGTTGTCCATATGGTGAAGGTCCGTAAGGGAGCTGAGGACCAAATGGCTGAGGATTTGGATAAGGTTGAGGGTTAATATAGGGACTGTAAGGATAACCTCCATAGGGCTGGGTTGGATAGGGAGTTCCATATTGTGGGGGCAGAGGTGGGTAACCACTTGGATATTGGCGAGAACCATCCGCATCGTCCTCTGAAAGGGATGCCTTTGGATAGGTGCTCTTGTTAACCTTCTTCTTCCTTAAAGGAGCTGGTGTAGTTTTCTCATCAGCCTCTTCCTCCTCAACAACTTCCTCACGTTGATCTTGAACAGGGGATTCCTCTACAGGATTAGCGGTCTGAGGTTTGATTCCATAAGGAGCAAAATTTGCCTGAGGTTCCTGGCTTGGCAACTCGAAATCGCCGTCCTTCTTTAGAACCACAATGCAGTGAATGGCAGAATCTTCTTCTTCAGCATCGATGGCCTTTCCCGAGCTCCTAGCGGAGGTGACATCCTCGTCCCTGCCTTCGCCTTCTCGGGTTTTGATAAGGCACAATGGCTGGCCATCAAAGTCAAACTTCTCGGCCTCTTCGGCTCTGCTGAGGGTGGTGAGGCCCACAATTCTCAGAAGAGAGTTCCAGCCAGAACTCAAGGTCTCACTTACGGTGGCAAAGCCCCCGTTGATTAACCGAGCTTCAGATATAACATTCTTGCCCTTGGTCAGCTGCAATACCCGCTCGTACTGCTCCTCATTGATTTCATAGACTCGCACAAATTTCTCTTGATTAACTCCAGACGATGAGGATGGGGCTGTGGGGTATATGATTTATAATGAGCTTTGGGACTGGGTATCATTTTTCCAACTGAAAAGACCCACCTGTCTCAAGGCTGGCAAAGAGAGCCACAAAAAGCAGCAGGGCCAGTGACAGCTGCAACATGTTCTTAGAACCTGGACAAGAACGGACTAAAATGCGTCTACCAAGCTCTGGTTTTATTTATACTTTTGGCTAGAATGAATGGCCAGGCGAATAAAAACGAACGGTACATAAGTCCCACCACATTTGGAGACGAATTGCGATTAAATAAATATTTCAGACGGCACCCATCACATCAGCATCATCATCATCATTTTCGACAACATCTCGCCGACGATTTAATTTGAATACATTAAGACCAACATTTTGCGGATTTCCAGTGATCTCGGAGCAGAGTCAATGAACGCATTACTGACATTCCTAGTTAGGCTAAAATGAACAGGTTTTTTAAACCTAATCACTGAATGAGAAAAGCGATCTGGTTTAATTTGTTAATAAGCATATGGTTTCTATTAAGGAGCATGGGAACGAAATATAAAATAAATATAATTAATTCTAATCTAACAATTTATGAGTTCTAAAGAAAGAAAGAAATCAGACAGACAGATGGTTGACCAATGTTTGTTTATGAAGTGTTAAGTTCTGTGAAGAAGATTTTGTTTAAATTTACCAAAAACCAACCACAGAGAAATAAAAAAACAGTTTGTTAAATTTTCTAAATTATAATTTTATTGAATCGATTTCGTTTCATTTCACAAAACTCTCGCCTGCAGTGTCCGTGTGTGTGTGTGTTAGATGTCGCCTTTAAACAATCCTATCTGTGTGTATATGCATGTGTGGGGTACCTAAGGATACGCACACATATAAATGATTTGAGAGTACCTGGTTTATATATGTATGTATATACTTTTAGCTGCATTTGCTGTGACATATTGACATACACTCGTACATAATGTATTCGCTAGGGTTTCGTTATTGTTATTTCTTGTTATTAATCTGGATCCGACTCTTATACTTGACACTCAACGGACTTAGCTTAGTTAATCGCTTGCCCTGATTAATGCAATAATCCATTCACTCTATTTACAAGATGCGGGCTCTGGGTCATATTAAATTTAACTAGCTTTTACTATTATTTTAAAGGGTGTTTAGTTTAGTGTTCTTGTTGTTGTTTTTGTTTAGTTAATTCAGTTTCATTGCGGGTGAGCTATGCCAATTTTGCCTCAGTGTGTGCGGCTTACCAACTGGGGTGGTTCGCAACTTTCGCATTTCGCATTTCGAATCGAATTTATCGGTTTTATCTGCTTTATCTGTTTATATCGTTTAAGAGTTAATTAAAATTACAATTTCGTCTACTAATGAATTTATTTACAGTGCCTGCACATTCGCATTGCATTCGTATCAATTATATCGATAAGCACAATTATAAATTGCCCCCCCATTTTTGTTTTTCGATTCTCTCTTTTTTTTTTTTTGTTTCTAGCCAAAAACTAATTATATACAATTAAACGAGCTTCGCCCACAATTGGGTCAGACACAAAACAAGTTCATCCCAAAAGTTTTCAAGTGCTGACAGATGAAATCCAGTAACCGCCCTCGTAATTTATCCACTTATCGGCTATACATACATCCATAATCGTACTTAACCATAGCTAATGACTAGAACTAGAACTGATAAATGTGCAAAGCAACCGGAGCCCTACTCGAACACAAAACCATCTTTTGTTCTTAATCGGCTGGGTTTGCAAATAGTTCGAACTCTTGAGTACTCTTCAATAAATTTCTCTCTCTTGAATGGCAATTATTTACAGCAAATTTCAATCCAACAACTTGATGCAATGGGCTACTGGAGTGCTAGTTCGTTGGCAGTTAGAGATTGCATAGAAGTGGGTTTATTGTGATTCCAAAGAACTCTCTTTCTGGTTGTGATTCGGGCTGTTTATAGCTAGTAAGTCTTATTTCATAATGAAGGGGGTGTGGAAGTCTTTGCTATGGATGTGGCGTGCCATTGTGAGGAGATTAGTTTTCCATGAATCTATATAGTCGATATTAGGCAGTCCAGAATTCAGTTTGAGAATCAAAGAGGTGATGTTATCTTTATGTGGTGTGGAGAGTTAACAAACTAAACACCTATTTCGATATCAAATTTATAGAAATAATAAAGTATTATATCTCTTACTTGCAGACTACCCTGAAAACATTTAACTAGATTATAATTTTCCACGAAAATGCATGAGTTTTCATTGGGCTGTTTTAAAGGGCTTACACATCCACTCTTGACTTTGTTAATTACTGCTTTGCTTATCAGATAATATGTTTGCTTTCCACTAAGTGCATTCATCTTACAAATTAGTAAATACTTATTTTTGAACCCCCCATGCGATACATAGAAAACTTAAATCACCTTGAATATGTGTATGTGTGGGTGTGTGTGAGTGTATAGTGTGCGGGTGTGTGTGTGTGCTTTTGCCTTTTTAGTGTTCCAGTGCGTGTTGATTATTCCTTCATCTCAGACACCGAATTGCCGCTGGGCGTTCACTCAACATGTTGCACGTTGCTGATGTAGATGTTGCAGCTGCAGTTGCTGTTGTTGCTGCTGCTGCTGTTGCATTTACTCCTGTTTCTCTGGTCGTTAGCGATGTTCGCTTCGGGGGCCGCAGTCCCGCCGTTTTTGCCACCGCTGCCGCAGCATGGATATATCCACACCCAGCCTCGTAGAAGTGCTGCAGGCAGCAGGACACAATGCTCAGCAGCATGCAGCAGATGCCGCAGTAGAAGCTGTTGCTGTTGCTGCTCGAATTGTGTTGCATGGCCGCCGGATGTTCGCCTGTTAAAAATCGAAACCAAAAAGGCAGTTAGAGAAGGCGAAAAATTCGATACGTCTCTATAAAAAAGTACACTTTTAAGTTTAATCTACTTGAAGTTCGAAATGTAATTTCCATTCCCATAATTTGTAGTTTAATTTACAGTATTTTTCTTTCTACTTTTGTTAGACTACAAGAGTCCACAGGAAATGAACAAAAATGTAGAACAATTGAAAGCGAGAGTGCCCACATCGGTTAATTGGTTGGCAAACTTAAGCAGCTTCCTGCTACCACTGATTGCCTTTGAGCTGGCTTTTGCTCGTCAGATAGAATCGCCCTCAGTTTGCATGCATGCATTTCCTGTTTGTGCCAAAGAAAAACATTGGCAGCACAAGTTGTTATAGTTCTCGATGAGCTCTTGAGCACACAAGCTGCTGCCATAAATCTGACAAGCTCCTTCGTAGCCCCTGACTTCCAAGCCGACTCCGCACACATGGCCCCTTACTGGTTATTGGCCTGCAGCTAACTTTCAGGCTGCAGCGGCAACTGGAAATAATTTCCGTGCTGCTGCACAAATACAAACATGCGGGGGCAACATGAAAAAAAATAGGAGAAAAAATCTGAAAAAAAAGTCAGTCAGCTCTCAGCAATTTCTCGCCGAGTCTGGTGCAATGCAATTACTGCACGGCCACGCCCCGTTTTGCACTTGGCATTACAAATTGCGAATGTGCCGCTGCTAACAGGCAACTTCCACTTCCCGTCATAAACATGCAAAACTCTCTGACAGCACAAACACCAGCGGAGGTAAGCCCGTAGTTGCAGTCCTTACTTACCAATAATTACGTGCACATAGACGCTCGAGGTTTTTGCCACCGTGGGCACACAGGTGTAGTTGCCAGTATCGCCGGGCATGGCGCGCTTGATTTTTAATCTGTGCCGGGAAGAGAAAGCACAGAGAGAAAGTGAATGGCAGTAAGGGGAATGGGCATGAGTATGGCAGTGGGTATGGAAATGGCAATGGAAATGGGAATGCATGGGGAACAAAGGCAAAAGGGAAAAGGCCACAGAATGCCGGGCAAAAACATGAAGTTACAAAAAAAAGAAACACAAAACTTTTGCTACTTTATGCGATAGCATAATGTGTACCGAGCTCCCTCCGCCACTGACTCTAATTCGAAGTTACTTTGCACTGAAGAAAAAAGTGTTTTTTTTTATATTTTATATTTAAGAATTATTTATATCAACTTTTCTTAATTTCATTCTTAGATTTTAAGTAATTCAATCGTTTAAAAATAAATATATTTTTATTTAGGATCCTTTCCTTTCCTTAGTTTTAGTTTTCAGTGTTCCCTCAAACTTTTTTCAAGAGACTTTCTTAATCCCTGGTAAAAGCCACTCTCCTTTCATCTCTGTCAGCGGCACCTGCATTTTATGGTCGTCTGCGTCGTTAGTTAACAGCATAAATGGGCAATGATCACGTGGCGGCAACTGAAACTCAGCAACTAACTACTGCAGCCTCAGACTCCGAATCCCAAACCCAAGTCCAAACCCAATTCCGTCAGTGACTAAGCTTTGACTTTAACTAAGCCAAATTAAAAGTCACACACGGCTACATCGAGCTCGTAGTGAAGAGATGGAGCGGAAGAATGGACCATCATAGCCAGATGATACCCTACTCAGCTTAATTTAGTGACACGGCTCTTACTTAATGAGTATAAAAAACTAAATTGTTTCTATAGAAAGTTACAAAGGAATTTGTTGAATACATATTGGTTTAAATATTAATTTCGTAGTTCTAGTAATTTTTTTTTAATGTTAAACATTTTTAATGATTTTTTAGTAAGGAGGCAGCAGCTTAAACAAATTGCAATAAAATAAATCAATATATTTTATAAATAAAAGCTTTGCATTTCTTTTAATATTTAAATATTTTATCACTGAGTTATTTCTGACTACTGAAAGGTTGGAATTCATTTCACAAGAAACAAAAAACCAATGAAATATTATTCCACCAGTACCATAGTACCCTCAGACCCTGTTCTTCTATATGGTAACAACAGTAAGTAACATCCTGAAAGTATCCCTTCCTAAGACACCCATCATGTTCATAGCTAGACTGCCACTGGATCCTCTAGCTGAGACTCGTCCTTAGCTTTGGCCTTAAAATGTCATTCAAAGTCTTGGCAGTGGAGATGTGACTGCAAAACTGCAGCCCAGAGCAGACCGGGTGGTCTTTAAACTTTCCTACTCCAGGTGTTGGATACCTGGCCTTAATTAAGTGAGGCGGTATTTTAATGCGAAATAACTGAAATGCTCGGCACACATTTGCACGTTTGGAAGGCGGAATGACGGGGTGACGGAATGGCGATGTGGCGCAATGGAGGGCGAGTCGTTACATACCTCGAAGTCAGGCCGTCAGTCCAATCATCCTCGACGCGAATCCGGGCCATGGAGCTGTCGATTTCGTTCTCGTTCTTCCCATCGAGCATTTCGCTGCCTGGAATGTGAAGAGTAGCAAATTGAATTGCGTAAATGAGATGGGAGGTACGCGAAAAAAGGGGGCAGGAGGGCAAGGTGGGTAGGCTGAAGTTCATTACGCATACGCACCTTTGTACCAGAATATGTTGCCCAACTCGTGGGGTCCCTGCATAATTTTACATGTTAGGTTAATGTCGCTGCCAGTTTTCACCATCAGATCGCTGGGCCCGAAGATTTCCGCTTTGAGTTCTGCAAAAATGAAAGAAATAGGAAGAGAAAAAGTCACTTAAGTTGCCAGTATACAAAGCCATCTTCTTCCTCTTTCCGTAACAATGATAATAATAATAATGTTAATGATAACGTCCAAGTGCACGTTTGTCTGCCAGTGTACAAGTGTGGGAACTGAGGACTAAGGACTCAGGACTGAGGCTGGGCTCTACTTTATTACACAGACGCGTGTCTCTATTATGCTGGCGATAAGCTTTTGTTATGCCATATAAAAGGTAGTCGGGCATCCCCGTGGTACCTGCAGCTAGCTGTTCTCCTCTGTCCTGCTCTCAGCGGAATTGTCAGCGAACAAAAAAAAAAAAAAACAAAAACAAAAAAAAAGACAAAACAATGCCTGGCAGATTGGAAAAAATTTTCTGCTTTCCATTTGGGCCACAAAATCAAAATGTCAAGCATTGAAGTGCCTTTTGTTGTTCCAGCGTCAATGATTTCAATTGAGAAAAATCATCGTGGGCAGCCACGAAAATGAAATGCGATTTGTACTTAAAGCTTATGATGGCTGACAGTTGCCTTAATGGAAGTCGTCCCAATCGCCTTTCCATCAAAACCATTTTCCCCCAAAGTGAAAGCTAAATGCGACAGCAGCAACTCTTCCATCTTTGCTCCACTTTCACTCTCCTAAACTGCAAAAAAGGAAAACTTCCAGCCCCTAAACAACCGCAAAGCCGTTTGGAATAAATTTCAGCCAAAGGAGGTAGGATTGCAACTAGAACATCTGTATATCGGGCTGTAACCCATACATACTTTTTCCCATTCGATATGGCCAAGCTTTGGTTGCCATTCAATCGTGTGGCAAAAACTGAATGGAACGAGATTTCAATGCTCCAGAAACGCAGGACAAAAAAGTGTGAGCCTGATGACTTTTCCATAACTCCCTCTTCAGCGGCACTTTAAGTCGTTCTTTAAATCAGGTGCGATTGTGTGAGTGCGAGGGCTGGGTCCCAAAAATGTTAATCTAAATGAAATGCCAAGTAGAAAAAGTAATGTACATCGTCGAAACAAAGAAGGCCAGGGCAAACCCAAATGGAATTCGAACATGCTGGGCGATTATCTTGCTGTTTTATAGACCCGCACATACACATATATACCTAGGAGTCCGGAAAAGCGGGAAAGGCGAGAAAAGCGCAGAGTATGGCACGTTGTTGTCGCTGATGGCCGTTGTTTTTGTACCTGGCAAAACAATTGTGGCAGCGAAAGCTAACCGTCTATGACTTTTGCCGACCTAGCAGTGCAAGGAGCCGTGGCTGCGAAAATTATTGCCTCCCAGGCTCACACACATGCAGCTGACAACGCGGCTGTGGTTCCCACGACTTGGGTACTTTTCCAGGGACTTAGGGTTGGGATTGGTGTTGAGGCTACCCAGGTGCGAACCCGCATGACAGGCGGAATAAATGAGGACCGCTTCGAGAGGATCTCCTTTGGAAAATTGCTTATTTAACTATAATTAGATTAAGTGGGCCTGGCGATTGGCGAGCTGCATTTTGGATGAGGAAATGGGACCAAGTCAGTCAACCAACACAGCTATTTGAAGTTTTCATTAGACCTGGCCGCAGTTGACCCAGGCCGAAAAGTTGCAAAGTCTACTCCTGGCCGCATGCCAAAGTCAAAACGCCCCCATCGTCGTCCCACCCTGTCCTATCGTCCTGGCAAACAAAGTCCTTGCCGAGTCTTGTTTACACACAGCCAGCTCAGGCTCAGACTGTGGAGGATTTTTGTGCAGCCGCAGCAGAAAGTTACGAAAGAAAGGTTCTGTGGAGACGGGGACTGGGAAATGCATTTTCATTTTTCTTGATTTCGCGCATAAAATGCGCATAAGCCTATATGGCCATAAACATTTGGAGCGATGAACTTTGCAGAGGGGCCGGCACAAAACATGGCATACTTTTTGGGGCCAGTGCATCGCAGGCTGGGGAGCCGTAGCTCCAGAATCCTTATGCTCGTTGCGGAGCTGGGGCTGTAAAAATTTATTGCCCTTCGCCTGTGTTGATGCATGTTTGCACACATGTAACAACATCTCGGTATTTATTGCCCGAAAAACAATATCAAACGGGGCCATGCCGAGGCGGGCATTATCTTAAAGCCTACAAGGCCTCTTTAAATTTGGGACGACAATTAATCGGACGTGGATGTGCAATTGCCCGGAATTAATCGTCAAATCAAATAAACAAATTCAATTTGTAAAAGTCAGCCGCATTGCCAGCACAATTGATGAAGTATTCCCCCTGTCCTTTCAGTTTCCATTTCCATTTGCCTGTCAGAATCCTAGGCCCATATCCCAACAATGGCGAAATGAAAATGCCAAAACATCATCATTGCCCGAGTTCAGAGTTCTGAGGAGCTCCGAGTTTCGGCCTTTTCAGTAGTCTCCATTGTTGTGATTATTATTATTATTATTAATAATTCGACATTGCTGCAGAGACATTAATCATTTCCTTCTCCGCAGCTCCTTTATCCCATTTCAGGGCAATATCTTAGTAATTTATCATTGGGGCATTTTTTGGTCTAGGCATTCGCCGTAGAATGTAATTTGAGCAGAGCAAATGAACGAAATGGGAAGTAAAACATTTGATTGCCGGGCAAATTGTTCGGCCCAGCTCGAGTCGAGTCCTTCTACCTCGTCCTTGCCAACTTATTTATAAAAATTCATTATCCCCCTCGGTTTGGGAGTTCTCTATCTCTTTGGGCCACTCGCCTTCACCTGGCCGTTTTGCAAGGCCCACCCACCTGCCTTGTTGTATACTTTATATATATACATTTATTAAGCAAAGGTAAACTTTTGCTCACGTACAATTTGCATGCGAATTGGGTCAGGCACAAACAAAACTGCAGCAGCAAATTGCTCTTGGCAAGACAATGAGAATCGCTTAACTTTTAAGCTGGCTCAAGTGTTTACTTCTTGAGCATTCAATGTGCATCATAATTGCCAACATTTTCTTGGTTTTCGTCTATTAACCTCAGGAAACAATTGCCATGGGAGGCGAGATGGTGTGATGCTGAACTTCGCCAACTGCTCGACGGAGTATTGGTAGAAATTCTGGTTCATAACGATTTCTTTGTTTTTGGCAAGGCCACGTTAATGGATTTTTGTGGCACACAATTATTTTTCCATTCAAGCTGCCAAAGAACACTCCTCGAGCCAAAACTAATTTAGTGCGGCTGAAGGGCAGGGGGAATAATAGAAGGCACTTCTCCAGAAAGTGTCCCAGTGGAAGTTATTATTATCGTTTAAGCTCTACAAAGCTTCAGACTCAAAAGTTGGCGAATTTTCATGGTTTGCGATTGAAGGATTTGTCGAAATTTTAACCAAAATGAAAGTAATTAAAATTAAACACTGTGAAGACTGGATTAGTTTGATTTTCCGACTGCTTTACTTCAAATTTGCGATTTGCTTTGATAAAAAACTATGTTTTATTCGATTAAAGTATAGATTGATCTTCCCCTAAGGTAGTTCCGATGCTTTTAGCTGCCAATGTAATTTTTACACAACTCCTTGACAGGGATGAAGTCCTGCAGCCTGAAGCCATTTATTGCTCTTGGCTTGCTTATGCTCTGGATTATTATTTGCGCTTGATTGCATGCAATTTGCTGGCTGCTAATGTCAACAGCATCTACCAGCCAAAGTGTTGGTTTATGGAGCCCAAAATGAGCCATCTACTTGGCATCTCCATCTTGTCAGCTACGCATTCAAATTGCCTTCAATCCCCGTCTCCTTCCAGATCCTTTGCCTGGCTGCAGCTCTTCCACCGGTTGTGCAATTTGTTTTTCACCCAAGCTTCAACTAAGCAAGGTAGCGCTTACGCTTGATTACATTCGCGCTGGTAAACAAATTTTTCCAGAAGCATCAACAACACCTTTCTTATTATACCCTAACAGGGGGTAGTTTTGATTTGCTGAAGGTTTTGTAATGGGGGTTCTTGTACATTATAAACAAGGAAAGTTTTTCAGATTCCTTTCATATCATACATCATATCATTAAACGCCTTTCGAACGAAGACAATTTCTTATTAAAAGAAGAAACTTAACAAACAAAATAATCCTTAATATTGATTAGTTTTACTCTACAAGGGTATATGAAAGTCTACATCCCGCACTTAGTTGGCTTTCTCGATTTATTTTTGTTCTCCCCAGCACTTATCCTGCTCCTCGTCCTTGGGCTGTCAGTTGGGTCCTGTTCTCTTGTTGTCGCTCAGTTTGAGTGGGACAGGGACACATAATTTAATTTACAATTTGCTCGCTTTATCAGCGTGTTTGGTAATTTGCCTTAAATTCAAAATTAAATCGAGTCCGGGTCTGGAGTTATCTATGTGCATATAAACATGCTGCCATGGCTGACACCTAGTTGGCAAAGAGAAGCGGGCACCTTCCTCTATTTCTTTTCTCCGGGAGTCGAGTCGAGTACATAAAGTTGGTAATTTAAGCAATTGGAGCGGCTGCTGCAGCATTAAAATGTCAAAAATATTGCGGCCAAGGCGGAAGGCAGTGGGTGGTGTTATGTGAGCGGTGTTAAGTGGGCGGATGGAGGCGTTTGAGGCGTGAAGGCGGAAGAACCGGCCCAGACTGAAGGCGATTTATGTTTATGATGCTCTGGTCAACTTGGCGCTGTTTTGTTTATCATTTGCCGCGTTCTCCACTTTTATCTCGCCCTGGCTCCTCATTTTTTTCGTTTAGATGGCGTGTAATAGAATTTTCACTGGCGTCGAAAAGAAACAGCGGCAGCGAAAGAAAAAACACAAATTTATGGAATTTTTAGTGCACAATTTTTTATTTGCATAAGCGCATAAAAATTCTGGCATAACAACAAACTTGTTTGCAACGACAATGATGCCGTAGCCAGTACAGTGGAGACACAATTAGGCGACAGAATATAGCCGACAAATAAGAATATTTTCTTTCTTATGTTTTATTTCAGTTTATATGATATTTTTATACCACTTTTCATGACATGTTTAAAGGCTTAGACCTAGTATTCCTCCTCATAAATTTATGGTTTTCATGGCTTTCTCACCACTGTCTTCACTGACCTGCTGTTTGCTGTTTCCGCGTGAGTGGCATGTCGAATATTTTATATGCACATTTCTTTTTGGGCATTCAAATGAGTTCCCAGCCAGGCCAGCCTGGTAGTTGTAGTTGCGGCCGCCCACCAGTATGGGCGTGGTCGGGCATGTGCAGTCATTTGCATTTCCGCAAATGTAATATTTATGACTCTATGTGTCTGTCTCTGTGACTCAGTGAGTGTTTGAAGCTGACTTGTCAGCCTGTCAAGTTACCATGCACACACACAGACTCACAGACACAAACTTCCCAGCCTCTGCATGCGTGTAAACTTATATTCAAAGCTCTCGTTCATATTCCCGGGCGCACTAAAAGATTCATAACCGAGTCCGGGGGCTGACCAAAGCATTTTATACTGGCCAAAAGTCGTTTGTCCGTGTGGCTAAAATAATATCGCACATAAACACACACACAGAGGCCGGGCACAGGGCAAGCGGACCAACATTTTGGGGGGAAATCAGAGATCAAATAAGCTCATTGAGGGCACTCTTCCGCACCAGAAGCTTTTAGCCAAATGCATTTTGCTAATATCGAATGCGATAAAAATGCACCGAACAGGAACGAAACCGAAAATCCACAAACATTTCCTACACAATATTTTGGGCGAGTGTGCTGCCAAGGATATCGTCTTTAAGGACCCAGCCCATACATCCATCCATCGAACCATTCCTTACTATTGATGTGTGACGAGGGTTCAGAATCTTAAACCTTCCAGACCCAAGTGCAAACTAATTACCCGGCCAATTGGCAAGACAAAGAGGTAAGAAGACAGCCCTCGTTCACGTTTAACCCTCACAAGTTGCTGGCTGCTCAGCAAGCCAATTTGCACATAATCGAATTGAAAATTTTATAATCACGAGCAGCAGAAGAAGGCAGCTCGACGGGTGGCCGAAATGGCTGCTAACCGGGCTCACATGTTCCGGAAGGGAGGTCCTGAGAAAATAACATGCATATTGTATGGCTTGCTTAAGCTCTTAAAAACCTGCATAGCTTGCTACAAAACTGCTGCTGGAAAGCTTCAAGAGCTTAGCCCATAAAAGTAATCACTTCAGTGGTTTGCGACCAATTTCGAGCCAGCTTCTCTCCTACCATTTCGATTGGCCTACTTTGCAGTGCCGGATAATGGTCGAACTTTTGATTATCAGGCTCGGAGATGAGTCATCAGTAATGGTTATGTTATGGCTCTAAACTGTTGAATATATCTTTGGTAGCTGTACATAAATTTCAAGGGTTAAATGGGGTTGTATTAAAGTTAAGCTGAAAGGTTTTAGTTGGAACTGCTCTTACTAGAAGTCTCAATAATTGAGCTTGGTTTTTGATTCTATTTAGCAAGCTTAAACATTCGATTTCTTGGTCAACAACCAATATTTTCTTCTTTAACCATGTAGGTCGTTATCTTTTTCAAATAAATAAAATTAAACTTAAGTTGTTTACCCTGTTCAACATTAAGTAAGACAGCCATGGCCATAACTCACCGACAACGTTGAAAGTGTACGACAGGGACATCTTCGGCTCCGTGTTGATTTGGCACTCGTAGACACCAGAGTCACGTGGCTGTGGATACTTGATTTGCAGTGTCCAATTGGCGGAGCCATCGGGTCGCAGAACCTGCGGGGAAGACAAAACGAAAACTTAAAGTTCCCATCCAGAAACGGACAAGGCTGGTGTCCATTCGAACTCACCTGAAAACGCTGATCGGATGTGTAGGTGGTGCCGCCGGCGGTGAGGATATGCAGATCACGTTTGCGTATCCAGGAGACCTACAACGAAAACAAGGGGATCGAAATGAAGTGCTTTTCTCAGTTGGACCTCTGGATGCTTGGCAAAGTTTCGGGAGCATTACAAATTCCGCACTTAAAACTTTTTTGCTCGCAAGTGAGTTAAACGTGTTTTGTCTGCCTTTCCCGAGCACTCCCATTTGGAGTTCGGAGGATGAGGTGGCAAAATGAAAAACAAAGCGCAAAGTTTACTTTTCTTTTTATACTTTTTCTCTCGTGTTCCGGCGGCGTTGGTTAATCTTTAACATTTTGCTTTTTTGTTACTGGCATTTAATCAGCAAACAAACAAAGCACAGTCGGTCGGGCCGAGGGGTTTCAAGAGAAAAGTTGCCAAGCTTAAGCCGAATACATTTGGGCATGAAAAGGCTAACCCACGTTGCTAGGAAATGAAAGATGCTCATACAAACGGCCCTTGACAATTGCAAAACTCTTTAAGCCAGACTGGTCGTAAGGTCAGTCTGTCAGTGGGTCGATGTCTATGTCGGTCCAATTTTGTCAAAGCTGCTTGCTCAGCGCGATTTCCAATTGTTTCAAATAGCCTTCAATCCTTTTCGAACGGAGAAAAACTGTGTGGACCAGGAAAAAGGAAAACGGCCAGCAATGAGACAGCTTTGACGCCATTTTCAGCCTTTATTTGGGAGCATTTTTATTATTGCTTGAATTACATTTTCATTTGATTGCCTAGCGCCTTTGCCTTCGCATTGGCCTTCGTCCTTAGCTGGAAAATCTTTTGGGGAAAGCCATTAACCATGATTTTGTGTCTCTCCCTCTAACTTCTCCTCCATACCGAAAGAGCAGGCCGTGAATTCTTGGTAGCCCAGCAGCGCCCACACACTTTGTGCCCTTTTTGGCACATTGTTTCCAATTTATTTGATGACCTTAGTTTCTCTTGTTGTTCCTCGGCTATTGTGATACTCAATTTTAATTACATGGAAAAAGTTTTCCGGACCCCACTCTCTTTCATTGAAACTTTAAATGTTTGCCGAGTGTCAACATTAAAGTTGAAAATATGCTAGCTCATTAATAAATTTAATTGCTTGGCCCCGCGGGCTTTTGAATTGAGTTGGCCAATCAACTATGCTAGCCAGCCAACTATTGGCCATCTAATAAATTCATTCGATTCGGGGGCTGAAATCGGGGCACAGTCCAATGAAATCGGTCACGTAATACGTAAAAATAAAAATCATTCGCTTGTAAAACTTTTATGCGACTGCCGCTTTTACGCCCCCCAGGATCATAGGCGAATTGTCTCGGTCAAATGTAAATTAAACTGTTGGAGGAGTGAGGGGAAAAAGGTCAAATCTCGGCAACATTGAGGGCGATTTACCCGTTCGGTATTGTCGCTGGCACACAGTGCGTATGAGTAATGCTATGAGGCAATTTCCACACACCGTAAAGCGAAATCGAAATGAACTGTAAACGCGACAGGCGGCACAAACTAAAGAACTATCGGGATGTTAGCTTTATAGCAACAGATTCGAAATCTCCAAATTAGATATTCCAGGGCGGCAGTTAAATATTTAATTTTCCAGCTGGAAAAGGCGAAAATCAAAAGTGAAAAGTTTTACAACTCCAGCCAAGTTGGCCAAGCCCGGTCCACAGCCATATCCCCTGTCAAGAAGTTGTCCCAATCTCTGGCGCACGTTGGATTTTGGTCTCCTCCTCCGAGGGACAGGTTGCCGAGTCCCGTGAGTGGCGAAACTTTGCTCGGGGTATAATTTTCGTAATGTCTTTAGGTTTAAATAAATACCACAAGCATAGTTTTATATTATTTAACACTTTGTGTTCGCTGCGGCCGGAAACTTTCACCCGTGCTTCACACTCTGCACTCTACAGACCCCCTCTCTACCCTCAACGCTCAGCTCTTACTTTCCCTTTTTTGTTTTTCTGTCATCTCACAGGAAAATGCCAAATGAAAGAAGTTTCAGCTGAGGTTGGCTGAGCGTGTGTTTGTGCGAGCGTGTGGAAAACTTGGCGAAAATACATTAAAAACTTTCCTGACGCATTTTCTGCGTCTCTAACCAAGAGAGACTTTAGATTTTAGACTTGGCCAAACTCGACAGACCCAAAAATAGTTGCAGTTGCAGTGGTGTAGCTTCTTCTTGTAATGCTGTAAGTTGCTAGTTTGTTGCCACACACTGGCTTTGTCCGAGCTTAGGAAATGGCGTGAAAAGTTCCATTAAGCACTGCGGAAAGCGTTTCCAATTCGCAAATTACTGGGGCGTCGCTTAATGAACTTGATCCAAATTAAATTGTTTTCCTTGCGAGTCAACCACGTCCCGAGCATGACAATAAACAAATGAAGACTTCAATGGCAGCATTTTGTAAACAAAGTTGTAAACAGATTTTGATTTCTTTTTTACTTTTTTTCGCCCTTCAAATTCTGGGAACGAAGGTTGTCCTGTCGGCATTAAAAAGGGTTCGCTGCCTTTTCACAAAGCCTAAAACTTTGTTTAATATACTTTTTTTTTCCAGCCGCCTTGATTCCGCTGGTATTACACGAGTAAATTGCTTGTGCTCATGTTCGCTGATGTAGCCGTGGAGAAGCGTTTATGGAAACGTTGGAGGCACTCGGCGCGGCGCGTAATAAATCAACAGTGAACGGACAATCCTGTGAAGTCAAGTTGAACAAGCGGATTCAACGCCAGCTTCCGGCAAGGGCGGTCGAAAAACAAGGACATAAGGTCAGCATCGGCGACCGAAGATTAGAATACCCTTGCGGGGCAATCATCTGATTTAATTGCATTTTTAACAAAGGATCAATAAAATAATATTTAAAGATCTTTAGGTCTAATAAGTTCCTTGTTTTTATTAATTTTAAAATATAATTTTAATATAAAAAACCTAATTTTAAGTGGCTTCCCGATTAATTTAAAATATTTCACAGAAATCTAAAAGATTTTCCTTTAATTTGCAGAAACAAGATCCTTTGTAAGGGTATAGAAAGGCACGCAATGAAATGCCGAGCACTGCTGGCAGTGTCAGCTGATATGGAAATGGCACCCATCCTCCGAAGGTACACAGTCCCCTTCCCTCCGGAAAACTCACGGCTAACGAACTAACGGCACGGGCATAAATTACCCGAGGAAGCCTGCTCCGCGTGGAGTGGCGCATAATGGAAGCCAAGCGCCGGCAAAGTTATTTGCCGTAACTGTTACACTTTCAATTTTGAGTTTATGGGTGCAGTGGCAGCGGAGGAGTCCTCCAGAAGGAGCCCACCCTGTGGAAGCCAGTTTTTGCGTGGGCACTGACAGCGCGGTTCCAGTCTGTCAATTACAATTAATGTGGGCGTCTTGGCTGCGGGACAGACTTGTTTTCCAGCTAGCGCATGCTTAACTGCCTCCATTAGGGCTTGCACCATGCCATGGAAAAAATATTCCAGGAATTTAAATCGAGAAAATTTGATCGAGAAAATCAATAATATAGAAGATGCATGATCAAAAATTGAAAATACAAAATATATTTAATAAAAGGAAACAGGTCACTAGAACTTTTGGATGGGAATTGAGTTAAAAGTGGAGGCGAGACTTTAAGCCATCCACATTCAAAGGTCAAGTACCCCTTGAACTGACTGACAACCTGAATAACTTCATAAAATTGTCCATCCAAAATAAGAGAAAAGCAAAAAGATTTCATTATTACACAGAAGATGTATTAAAATTTTTGGTTAATTTCGGTACCCAACAGCAAAAAAGTCTTCGAACTGATCAGAAAATGGATTGCGAAAAGTTTGGTAAGTTTGCAGGGTCGCTAACTCTGATACCAACTGGTAACCCATCGTATCCACTAGGCGTCACCAGCAATGCTGGTGACCATAGAATTGATCCAACAAGGGATCCCATAGACCTTAAAGCGGAAACCACTCTGGAGATGGAGATTGAGGAAGCTTTGTCCTCCAGTAGTGCCGATGACACCCCACCAGGTATGCTTGTGGTGGAGACACGCATCAGCTCCTGGGAGAAGGGCCAGTCCTTGGAAAAGGATGTCCCCACAGTGGAAGTGGAGAGCCCAGAGCTACCCGCCTGCTCCGTTTCCCTGGGACAAAAGCCAAATATCCGATTCCAAAAGCTGCCTCACCCAAATCATCCGTTGGTCAGCACAGAGGCCGCTTTAGCCGCTGCCACCTGCTCTGCCTACGCCGCTACCCCATCTAAGCCCACGGCCACGGAATCCATTGCCACATTGAAACACTGCATCGATGGGACCACTCAGTGTAATAACCTCGGCTACGAGTCTGTGTCTAACGAGTCGATGCCCTCGGTGGGATCGCTCGTCTGCCGCATTTGTCACAACGCCGATAATCCCGAACAGTGAGTACAAATTTCAGGATTTATTAGGGGGTATAAGTATATAGGTTACCCTTTAATATGTTACTTTTTGAATAGGATCCTTGTATCAATGTGGCTCATTCATGACTCTTCAACAGTAAGAAATTTCTTTTAAAAATAAGCTCTCTGTTAAAGATATCCCTCTTTTGTAGTTTATAGGTCAATAACCCCTTACAGATTACATCCAATTATTTAATGAATATCCCTCTATTTGAATACACTATTACAGGGTGCTGTAACTTCCATTTAATTACGTACGTGCAGCCGCAAATTGTGCAGGAAATTAATTGCACGGCATTTAATGTATTTAGTGCGAGGCACGCGAGCGAATGCATTTATTTATTTTAATTATTAAAATTAACACTGCAGGCAGCCCTCATCCTAGCCCCGTTTTGTGACACTCAACCCCTCTTCCAGCACAGAGGACTTTATCCCTGATTATCTGGTTGGCTGTCTTTTTAATCCCATGATTTTTCATTGTTGCCACTGTTTGCGAAAGCACCCACCAATACACCCGCCATATGCACGCCCACTGAAACTTCCGCCTGTTCCGCTACGATTTGTTTGCAGACTCGTGTCGCCGTGTTTGTGCAAGGGCTCGCTGACATATGTCCATGTGCACTGCCTGGAGCGTTGGATTAGCACTTCGCGCTGCACCACCTGCGAGCTGTGCCAGTTCCAGTACAACACGGAGCAGACGCTGCGGTAAGTTAAGGAGTACACTTGGAAAAAGTCCTCATCAAAGTCTGGAAAAAGCAAAACCTTTCCTGAGTATCTCCATACTTAAGATATTTTTTCCGAGTGTACTAAGCATATGGCAGTTGGCAGGTGCCACATGAAGCGGCAGCAGATGAAAGACGCCTGCGGCTCAGATCTTTTTAATCAGCTGAGTTGGCGTTAGCTTTGTGGCTGTTTCTGCCTCTGCTCCTGTTTCTGTGGCAGCAACTCCTCCTAATTGCCAGGCGGCTTTGTTAGCGGCTTTGTGCTGTTGGGCGGACTTTGCACTTCTCCAGCTTCCGTTGCAGGTACACCTGTCTGCAGTCGCTGCGTCTGTGGTACGCCCGGGCCATGAGTCGCCGGGCGCTGCAAGAGGATTGCCAGATGTTCTCGCTGCTCACCCTTGTGGCCTTTGGAATTGTTGGTACCCTACTGGTGGGCATCCAATACTATGCCATGCACACCCATTCCTGGGGTCTGAGCAAGCTGTGGACCAAATCTTGGATGCTGTTCTTCCTGTTCATGACGGTAGCTGTTCGTTCTTGTGCTAATCCAAGTCTAATGTGATTGCCCTCAGATCACCGTTTACTTTGCCAACATCTACATGCTGATCAAGTCCCAACTGACGCCTTGGTATCGGTAAGATAGTTACTAACTAATTTGCTAGATAATAACTTGTATTAACATATCAAAAAACTAAGATGGTGGCAGTCTGCCCGGGACATTAAGCTAATTCTGGAAAACCGACGTCCGTTTCCAAACCCGAGCCGCTTCTTGCAGCCATTAGAGACGGCCTCGACGACAGCCTCCATGTTCACCCACCACGATCAGCAGGAAGCGCCCGTGCCCGGCCATTCGCCGTCCATACTGATCAGCTCCAGCGAGGAAGAGGCAGAGGATAAGTCGGCCCAAAAGTGGGGAAAGCGACTGGGCAGTGAGGTGCTTGCCGCAGTGGTAGATGCTACCCTGGAATCGATTGCTGACGCAAGTGCCCGCGAGAGCGACAAACAGGCCGAGCAGCAACGTCAAACACAGCAGCATCAGCAACAGCAACATCAGCAGCCGGAAGGCGGAAACTGAAAGGGCAATGACAAATACTGGACTGGGTTTCTAGTGGATGGGGATGGGTTTTGGTGATGAGGACAGCTAGGAGAGGTACAAGGTCTGGGCAAGTAATTAAGGCTCAAGGGCAAGGATTTCGCTGGGCTTTTGTTGTTTGCGTGTCATTTGTTTAATGTAGTTTCAATGCTTTTAATGAACTTTTTCGATGAGAGCTCGAATTAAATGGATATACTTGAGTCGTAGCCGTGATGATGATGATGATGACGATGATGTTTTATGTCGCTGAGGTCGGTGGAGCAACTCCTGTTCTAGTTGCTTCTTCCTTTTCCTGTTCTCCGGCTCGTGCTTGCACTTTGGCTGCTTCCTCCAAGGCGCACAACTTCCGGTTTCCGGCCTTCATTTCACTCCGCTCCCCTGCAGTCACCTTAAAGCGGGCAAATTAAAGCCGATAACACGGACGGACGGGGCTGTTGGGCTGATGGCTGAGCCAGTCACGTGATTGATGGCTCATAAATTAGTCATTTCGCCAGAGCACCAGTCTATTTGAGAGTGTGTGTGCGTTCGTTGGTGTGTAATTGGGGAGCAGAGGCGCCACTCGTTAGCGCAGGCAACTCCCACAGGACGTTTGCTCGGTTGTCGCCTGTCTTGTTTGGCCATTTTTCTTTCAGCCTCGAGTGCAGCCTCGAAATCAGCCGGTAATTTGGTCTAGGCCCTCCTATCTACCCATGCTTATCCCTAATACTCCACCTACACTTCCCATTTTTCCTTGGCATACCATTTAATAACACAAGCACGAGTCCTGGTTGCTAATGCACACTGGTTGAAGGACCTGGGCGTAGTGCCTGAATTTTGAATGATTGGACTATCTGTCACCACCTCCGGACCACTGTATAAGGCTAAGGCCCTACGCCTGGCCAAAGGGCTAATCCCGGCTAAGAGAGATGCGAGCTGGCCTGCCCACCTAATGTGCCAGTGATGTTGACATATTAGGCCGGCCAACGTCAGCCAGCCAGCCCCTCGTTTGCGTACAGGCCATATTTGGCAAGGGGTTAACAACCCACTGCGACCTTCAATCATTTGGCTTTGGTCTGGACTGAAACGAACCGGACCCCAATGGTTTGGCAATCACGGGCGGAATGATTGAGTGCCTGCAAATCCCAAGCGGAATTTTCATTTATTTTCTACAATTTCCATATGGTTAAGCCATTGACTTTGCTACCCTGCCTTTCGGGTATTTTCCAATGCTAAACAGTTGCTTTTTCATCAGATTTAGCCAAAGGCATAATAATTAATTCATTTGTTACATTTCCAATAGCAGTTTTTTCCTAATTGTCCAGTTTTTGTTTAATTACGTTTTGTATATTTAATCAGTTTTAAATATGCAGTGGAATTTGAATGTGTCTGAGTTAAATAAATTATGTAACCAACATATGTCTAAATATTAAAATTGAAATGCCTGAGGAATCCCGAAAGGTTTCTTTTTTAATTAAAAAAACAATAGAAGAGAGAAATTAAAAAATTAAATGTATACTTTGCTTAAAAAGAGTAACAAAGCTTACATAATTTGATTTTATTTTTTTAATTTTAACCTAAAAATAAATATTATTTCAGCCAGAAAAATCATGAAAATACTTTCAATTTCCCCCAAAGGGTATTCAAAATGTTGGGCTCCCGAAACAGCCATCGGATTTTCCGATTTTTGCAAACTTTCTACTTTCTACTTACATCCTTATCGCCGAGTCGCTCCACGCGGCAGTGAAGGAAGCCGGTCTGGCCGACGGTTACGGTCAAGTTGCGCGGCACATCAAAGTCGAAGTAGGGCAGCAGATTCGAGGGCGAGATTGTTGTTGTCGTCGTTGTGGGCGGCGTGGGCGCCATTGCTGCGCTATAGCCTAGAATTATATATAAAAAAAAGAGAGAGAGAGAGGTATGGAGGTCAGTGGAATGGTGCGAACGCAGCGGCATAAAAACTTGTGCCAAATGGAAATTTATTTTCATTTTCATTTGCACATACGTAGCGACGTATTGTTGGTTTTAGCGGGGCATTCAAATGCCCGGAGCTTGGGCATGGCCGCAACTTTTGGTGGCTGCCAAAGCCCTAACTGAAACTGAAAAGTAATAAAATTCGCATAAAAATTCTGCTCAAAAACGGAGCAGAAAAACAAATAAATGAACGTCGCTGAGAGGGATATGGGCGTGTGTGTGTGTGATTGTGTTTGTGGCACGAAAAAAATCCTCAACAAACAATTATACTTTCTTTTTTTATTTCTTTCGGCATTTGTTTGCTGGTGCGTGAGTTTTTGAAGCTGTTAAGGAGAGCAGAGGAGTAAAGCATGGGGAAAGTAAAGTGCTTCGGGACTTCAGACCTAGATGTTAGGAGGAATCGATTATCTTTCTAACTTAATCAGAGAATTGGTTCACTCAGCCTTCTTTTTCCTATCAAAATTCTGCAGACGAAAGTTAAAGATGAAGAGGAAACTATTAAGAAAATTCATGTAGAAAAGGAAAGTTAAAATCGCATATCGCAGCTGTAAAAACAATATGTTTCCCTGATGCTTTCTTTGCTTATTTCACGAAAAGAAATCAATTAATACCAGCTTTATTTGCAAATCATAATAAAACTTATCCCTTTATTTTGATGATCTGAGTAGGAAATCAGAAGACCATTTCTCGTTACAAAAACTACTAATCGGGGCAAATATATATACGCAATTACGTGTCCTTTTGTTCCCCGCCGAGCGAAAAGATGCTAATTATGATGGTAAAAATGTTTTCCGGTCATCAGCACACTTTGGCAAGTTTATGGCCACGGCAAAGTTGGCCCACTAAATATGTCAAAGCTGGGCAAAAGTTGTGTCCGGCAGTCACTAAGAGCCAAGTTAGATAACGACGTTTTGGGGAGCCAGGAAACGGTTGAACTAAGTTCATCAATACGCCACGCGGCAGCAGATGGGAAGGCTCAAAGGGAAAAGGGGGAACGGAAGGGCAAAGGAATCCAATGAAGAAAAACTGGCGAAAAGTTTTGCACATCAAAGCCCAGTACAAATCGGCGCAGATCGCATGCAGCCAACTGGAATACGAATAATTGAATGAGGCGATACGAGGCAAGCTCCTGCTGGCGTCAGTTTATCGAACTCCGTGCTGAACTCTAACTGGCGGCCAGGAATCAAGGACTTACCCCATCCAACCATCCATCGCCCCAAGACGGAGGAAAACTGCTGTTGCACATTTCCGTTTCCGCACGCGCAACAGAAAAAAAAACGCAGAGAAAAAATAGAAGTGAAAACTTTCGCCGGGGCACGCACACACTTTCACCGAAGGCAGCTGGAGGAAGACATACGCAAACTTTTCACATGCGTAGCAACGTGAAAACATGAATCGACTCCACCGCATCGACAGTGGTTGGGTGGTTGGGTGGGTGGCTCCCGGGATGGTGGCTGTCGGGACATGACAAATTTTACGATTTACTTTTTGAAAAATTTCGAACACAAAGTTAAATTTAATGCGCACCCGCAACATTTGCGTACGTGCGGCTTTCCATCTTCGGGCAATATGCAAAACATTTCGGGATAGATAATAATGTAAGAGGGCCAACGGGGAAAAAGTTTCGTTCGTTAATCGAAGCGGAGTTGCTCTTTTCAAAAGTTAATCAACATAAACAGATTTGAAGTTCATTTTTATTAGCTTTGTGAGTGCTCTTCTTGTTTTTCGAACCAGATTTTTGATTCCTAATTATGGAAAGTACAAGAGGAAGTACTCTAAAATATTATTCTTTCTTTTAAATACTTTCTTATAAGGAATACTACCAAGAAGGAAAGTTTTTATATAGCATAATGGGACATTTTCAATCCATCTTTAAGCATTAAATGTATAACTCTACCTACTTCTTCTTTTTCTTTTCCTATAAGAAAAAAACCGCTTTTAAAGCAATTTCCCAATCTATATACCTTCTGATACCCTACCCCAAAATCACCACCCCCCATCGGCTGCTCACAGAGATAGGTAACAGGGTATCAAAAGCGAGCGAAAATTAGCTTAGAAATGTTGCACGTATGCGTGCGTGGCGCATAAACGGCGTGGAAAAGCGTGGGAAATTCGCTAAGCGGAAAACGCGAGTCAGGGCAGCAGGGCTGGAACAGAACTTAATTTATTGTTTATCAGCGAGCATGCAATTTATGGGCAGCAGTGAAAAGATTTTCACACAAAATTTCGGCCCCCAAAGCCACCCACTTTTTGTGTGTGTGTTTGTGCGTTGGTTGGGGGGAACCTTGTGCTAATTTTAAGTTTATGCATGGAAAATTTGCTCACGCTGTGAAAATTAACGATGCGGCTGCCTGGAAATGCCTGGCCCAACTTGTCGAAGCCTCCAATTTGTTGTTAGCCAGTTTGTTTGCACCGTCATTTCAGCCCACTTTGGCTATCGATAACAGCCGAACCAAACGGCAGCTGGCGGCTGTCAGATTTTGGCTTTGGCTTTAAGCGTGCGCTTAATCAAAAACGCTCGCCGCCTGCAAATTAACATGATGCATGGCATGGCCAGAGGATCCCCATTCACTCCACTTCCCATCTAACTGTCACCCCGGAGCCACCAAGTCCCGAGGCCTCTGAGCTGCGGTTAAAGGACCAAAAATATTTGCCGACTTTTCAACCCGAAAATTAGCAAATGTGGTGGAAAATGTTTGCGGTTGTATGGGGGTTTGCTTCGCACAACATATGCATATTTATGGGACCGATTTGCTTGGAATATACATAAATCGAAATTACCGAAAATCGATTGGCCAACTATTAAATCAAAGCCGCCTTAATTGAGCGTGAAATTTAGTGTAAGTGATATTATGGTACATTGCTGTGATGGATACTTAGGAGGCTTACAAAAAACGAATACATCAATTAGTTTTTAACCAAATATGTCGAAATTTACAGTAAAAGAAAAAGTATTCATGCTTTTTATATGAGTTATTTAAGGCAGTACATTTTTTAAAGGGGAATACATCCATTAGTCCAGTAAAGCGAAAAAAACTAAAAATTTCAATATTAAAACCAATTTTGCATCTTCCATTTCCCCAAGAATGGATGCCAAAGAATTGGATAACGTTTTTTTGACCAATTATAAGCTTTTATTAAAGGCAGCAATGAAATTCAGCAAATAAATTCAGCCTCCTGTAAAATAACCATTTCAAACTTGAAAAAATTTTGAATTTTTTAAATTTTTGTATTACTTTATGAGAATAACAATTCGAAAAAAACTTTTACCAATTAAAGCGCATAAAGTTAAATGTCGAAATTTGAATATTGAACTTATTTGATTCTTCCCTCGGAACTGCCAGTGCCATGTCTTTGGCCTAGTTAATCTCAATCGGAGGCCGACATCAGTATGTGTGCCGAAGCGGATAGGAGGCGAAAGCCAAGACTCCTTGGCGAGAAGCGAGGAAGCCCTGGATTGTCCATGATCCCGGGCACTTAAGGTTAAGTTGCACTGACATCGCAATGATGCCTTGAGTGGCAGTCGATGCACTCAACGGGCTGCTCCTCAACTTGGCCCACAAATGTCTAGACCGGAGAGAAGTTTGGAAGAGGGAAGGGGGCCAAGGAGCTGGAAACGCAGCTGGAGCTCCTTTAAATATGCTGAACTATCGATTATGCTGGCTGAGTGTTTCCGCTTTTGCTTCCAGCTAGTGGATAAAGCTAAATATTTGCACAGCAAATTGCTCCTGACACTTTGCCACTCTATTTGCCGGCAGAAATTAAATCAAAATGAAATTTGACAGAAAAATATTGGGCATATAATCAGAGAAGTTCTGTTTGGATATGCACAAAGTAACCAGAAGTCAAAGGCAAAGAAGTCATTGGGGCATATTTGGCACACATCAGGGTCTGGGTTTTTTCTTCTCTTTTTTTTTTTTTTAAATAAATTCTTGGGCGGCAAAGTTTTTTTGTCGTGTGTCGCCATTTTTATGGCTGACAATGTCTGCCTTAGCCCACTTTCCTCCGCTCCGCCCAGCCATTTCATCACTCAGCCGGCATTATAAGTGCCGCATTTGGAATTTATGATTATTTTTCTTTCGCTTTTCTTACCCCAAGTCCCGATCCCCCCTTCCCCTCATCCCAGCTAATGTGGTCATATGAATGCTTAAATACAAATACGCATACAAATCGGGGCAAACTATAAAAACAGGCGGTCATGACTCACAATGAGGCACGATAAGTGAGCGCGGCGACATATTAGGCCATCATGTGTGGAAAACTGTGACTCTTGGCAGCTCTGGGTAAACTTCGTTAGACAGCGATGCCGACGATGTCGCATTTCAATGAGCATAAAATCCCATGAAAATGTTGCAAAAGATGAACCGTCGCACCAACCACTTCCATTCCCGAAAAAAACCGACTGCGTGCCTCATTTAAAAACCGCCCGTTTTCACATTTGCATGCGCATCACATGTCACGCAGAAAAACCCAAAAAAATCTGGAACAAAAAAACCAAAAAAAAAGAAAATATTGCGAAAAATCGGAAACGAAATCAGATAACGCCCGCTGAATGCTGCGACAAGTGACGGATGTGTCTCGTAAATGCTTCGTCGAGAGGCGATATTGTTGGGCAAATGAAAAATAAAAGTCAGAAATTATCTGAAATCGTTTTAAGGCGCCCCAGCTTACAATCAAAGGTGAGAATGTCGAGGGACGGGTATATTACCACCCGCAGTCATGTGTCCTACCATCTATCTGCGTCTCCTTAGGAGCTGAACGGGGGCCACCGCACCACATGCTGCATCCTCGAGCGTGTTGACAACGCCACCAGCACACATAATCATTTTCTAGGGCCACAACTGCTGGCGTTGGCAAGTTCTCACATCGAGACTCTCCAGCTGAGCTCAGCAAGTTTCGCCTCAAAGTGTGCTTCACTTAAATACAGACATTAATCGGGGCTCAGGATCTCCTTCTTCGGTTCAGTATGTTTACATGTGCTT